TACAAGTTTTTATGTTGACATTTTTTCATTTCTCTTAAGTACATTCCTAGAAGTGGAACTGTGGGATCATGTGGTAACTCTGTTTAACAGTTCGAGGAAGGTCTTTCTTTTTACCTACCATAATTTTACATTCCCACCAGCATTGCATGAGGATAAATCTCTTTGCCAGCACTTGTTATTGTGTTTCTTTTTTATGATTACCAGTCTACTTCATACTGGGTATGAAGTGGGGTCTAATTGTGGTTTGAGTTGCATTTTTCAGTGACTAATGATGTTGAGCATCTTTCAAGTGTTTATTGAATTTATTTATCTTCTTTGGAGAAATATGTATTCAATATTTTGCCTATTTAATTTGATTATTATTTATTGTTAGGGTTCTTTACATATTTTGGATATAGTTAATATTATCAAATATGATTTGCAAATGTTTTCTCTATATCTTTTTATTTTTTGATAATGCCCTTTAATGCACTAAAGTTTTTAATTTTGATGAAATCCTTATTAAAAAGACTCTTCCTGCCCCATTTTATTGTCTTGACATGTTTGCAGAAAATCAATCAATCACTGATATCAGGCTTTATTTCTGGACTCTCAGTTCTGTTCCTTATATGGCTATCCTTATAGCAGATGTACTCTGTCTCAGTTCCTGTATATTTATAGTAAGTTTTGAAATAGAATTTAATTTGTGAACTGTCAGGATTTCCTAAGTTTAAGACCATCTTATCTTCACATAGAGATCATTTTACTTTTTTCTTTCTAATTCAGCTGCCTTTCTTTTCTTTTCTTATCTAATTGCCCTGGCTAGCACCTACAATATGATGTTGAATAGAAGTAATTAGAAGAGACATTGTTTTCTTCTTTTAGATCTTAGGGGAAATCACTCTGTCTTTCACCACTAGGTGTGATGTTAGCTGTGAGCTTTTTTGCAAATATTCTACAACAGGTTGAAGAAGTTATCTACTATTCCTAGTGTGTTCAATGTGGTTTTTGTGGTTGTTGTTGGTGGTCATGAGTGTTAGATTATGACAGCTTTTTATTCATCTGCTGAGGTGAACATACGGATTTTGTCCTGCATTCCATTAATAAGCTGTACTGCATTAACTCATTTTTCAGATGTTAAACCAAACTTGCATTTTCATGAGAAACCCCACTTGGCCATGCTGTACAATTTGTGTGTGTGTGTGTGTGTGTGTGTGTGTGTGACTAGGTTTAGTGTGATAGTATTTAAGACTTTGCATTTATATTAATAAGAGATATTCTGTAATTTTCTCATAGTTTATTTGGTTATAGTATCAAGGTAATACTGGCCTCATAGGATGAATTATAAAACATTCTCTTCCCTCCAATTTTTTGAAGAGTTAGTAAAGGTTGATGTAAGTTCTTTGAATGTTTGGTAAAATTTATTAATGAAGCCATCTGAGTCTGAGAAATGTTGGGTCAAATTATTAGGCTTCTACATAAAAAATAATAACCTGAAGAATTAACTAGAATTAGTTAGAGGTATGCCCTTTGACTTGGTGATATACCCATCAGGTACTGTTAAACCAGCAAAGCAAAATGCAGAAAACTGTACTATATGATTGCCTTTCTGGAGACAATTATATAACATTAATATGTGTATATGCCTTTATATAAGTTCGTGTGTTATCATATATTCACTTTTATTTCAAATATATTAATATAAGGTAATAAAAATACCACATATATAGTAAATTGTTTAATTGTATTTTTCTTGGTACATGATAATTATACATATCACAAGGTACATGTGAGATTTTGATACACAGATTCAATATATACTGAGAAAATCAACATAATTAGGATATCAATTTTCCTTCCTCAAACACTTGTCATTTCTATGGAATAGATTCAGGATCAGTATTGCTGGGTTGAAGAGTATGTGTTTTTCTAGGCTTAATAAATTTTGCTAGGTTTTTCACAATAGAAATTAACAATTCTGATTTCTACAAGTAATATATAAGAATACCGATTTTCTTGTGTCACTGCCAAGATGGACTTTTAAAAAAAAAAATTTAATTTTAATTATTTATTTTTTTTTTTTAGAAAGAGATTCACTGTGTCACCTAGGCTTAAGTGCAGTTGCATGATCATAGTTCACTGTAACCTTTAACTCTTAGGCTCAAGGGATCATTTAGCCTCTGTCTCCCGAGTAGCTAGGACTGCAGGTGCATGTCATCACACAGGTTTATTTTTTAATTTTTATTTTTTATTCTTTGAGACAGAGTCTCACTCTGTTGCCCAGGCTGGAGTGCAGTGATGGAATCTCACCTCCCAGACTCAAGCAATTCTCGTGTGTCAGCCTCCTGAGTAGCTGGGATTACAGGCACTGCCATCACACCTGGCTAATTTTTGTATTTTTAGTAGAGATGAGACTTCACCATGTTGACCAGGCTGGTCTTAACCTGACTTTAAGTGATCTGACCACCTCAATTTCCCAGAGTGTTGGGATTACAGGTGTGAGCTAGCATGCCGAGCTTATTTTTTTATTTTTAATATTTTGGAGAGATAAGGTCTTGCTATGTTGCCCATGCTATTTTCAAACTCCTGGCTTCAAGCTACTCTCCTGCCTTGACCTTCCAAAGTGCTGAGATTACAGGATTACAGGTGCCAGCCACCATGCCTGGCCAACAATGGTTGGTTTTAAATTTTAAAAAATTACCATATGTGTTAATTATTATTTTACTATTAGTTTATTTTGCATGCCTCTGGCTCTGAATTTGGACATATTTAAATGTTTGTGAGCCCGTTTGATTTGTTCTCCTGTGTGTTATTTATTCATAATTTTGCTCATTTTTCCTTTGGGGCCTCTTTTTTCTCATTATGTCAGTTTACTTTAAATATTGTAATATAAGCCCAGTGTCATCTGCACTGCAAAGTCATTTGGAAAATATTATTTTCATATTAACTTTCTGTATACTATATCGTGCTGTAAAATATTTTACCTGAACAAATGTCTTCACATTTTATTTCAACATTTCTCGATTCTCAGATTTGATCAAGACATGTTCCCTGCAGGACACTGTATTTTGTATGCATATATATATATTTGTTTTTACACTGAAGATGTGAATGTATTTATAAGTATTTCATATATACTCTTAAACATTTATTTCTTTTCGTCCAGACGGATAGCCAGTTGTGCCAAAACTATTTTGAATTAATCTATTTTTTTCCCCAATGAATTGAAATGAGCCTTTGCCACTTTTGCAGTTTCTCACATACGTTTGTCTTTGGTGTATCACTGGTTCGATGAGTTAACATTCGGTTTGATATTTGTGCTTATATTCTCATAAGTGAAAGTGCTCTGCATTTTTTATACTATCTTCATCAGATACTGGTATTTTGCTGGCTGCATATCAAACTAGTTAGTTTTCCATTTTTTCTATGGCCTGAAATAGTATATATAACATTTGGATCATCCATTTTGTAAAAGTCACATGAATGAAAGTCAACTTTGACCTAGTCTCTTTCGTTGCCGTTTTCAGAGATAAATTTTAAGTTACATTTCCAAATTTCTAAGCTGATATAGCAGTGACTATTCTATTTTTTCTCTTCCTGTATAAATACTGGTAATTTATATTTTTCTGGGAAGTCATACATCTCCTTTAAGTTTTCAAATCAATTCCATAAAGTTGTATGCATGATTCCCTTAATTCTTTTAGTCTTCATTCTGTCTATAGTGTATCTTCTTTCTCATAATCTTGCATCTCTCCCTCTCTCCTCTCTCTCTTCCTCTTCCCTCTAAAGCTCCTAATTTGTCTATTTTATTGGTCTTTTCAAAGAAACAATTCTTTTATTCCATTGTCATTGCTATCTTCAACATTTTATTAACTATAGACTTTATTAAATTCTCTTTCTTTTGGTTTATTTTGCTTCATTATATTCTTATTATTTTATTTTATTTTGAGATGGAATCTCGCTTTGTCACCCAGCTGGAGTGCAATGGTGTGGTCTCAGCTCACTGTAACTCTGCCTCCTGGGTTCAAGTGATTTGCCTGCCTCAGCCTCCAGAGTGGTTGGGATTACAGGTACTCATCATCATATCTGGCTAACTTTTGTATTTTTGAAGAGACAAGGTTTTACCATGTTGGCCAGGCTGGTCTTGAACTCTTGATCTCAGGTGATCCATCTGCCTCAGCCTCCCAAAGTGCTGGGATTACAGGCGTGAGCCACTGCACCTGGCCTATTTTCTCATTTATTAATGTGAATAGTACTTTTCTTCATTTTTCCTTGTCCCATAACTCTGAAATCAATACCTTTTTTAATCTCTGGATTTTCCCCTGAATTCAGCTGTTAGTTAACTTCCATAAATTTTGCTATCCAAGTGTTACTTCTTCATTGCTTCCTAAATTTATAATTCAGCTATTTAAGAATATGTTGTTTCCTGATTTTCAAGTAATTTTGATTTTTTCTTTCTCTTTGTAATGATTCTAATATATTGCATTATGACTAGGGAATATGACCTATATCATTTCTTTGATTTACATTTTATTAAATTTTTTGAGGTCAAGCACAAAATTTCATACATTGTTCGTGGAGATAAATTGGCAAAGTGATGGAAAACAATTTGTCAATATCTAATAATGCTGTATATGTACATATTTTATGACATAGCTATTCCACTTACAGATTTATGTGGAAGTCATCCATATATGTATATATACACACATACAAATACATATATACATGCTCAAGAGTGTTACAAGTGTATATAAACATAAAAAACAGTGTACATAAATGTGTGTACATTTATGTATGTGTATACCTACATACATATATGTTTGTAAAATTGCAATTTCAAAAAATTAGAATCAACCTAATCAACCTACAAGTAAGGTGTCTTCCTTATAATGGGATTGAGTAAATAAACTGTGGGCAACTCACACAGTGGATTGCTATGCAGCAATTAAAGTGAATTACTATGTATATCAAGAAAGATAAATCTCTGTAATATGAAATACAAACAGTAAGGTGTAAAATGATATGCACAGCATGGAAGCATTTATTTACATTTTAAATGTTCACAACAGTTCTTCATATTATTTCTGATACATCCATATGTATACAAATGGAAAAACTCACAAAAAGTTACATATCCACTTCCAGGTATTGGTCACCTCTGGGGAGGGATAGAGAGGCAAAGGAATATTGTGGTAGGGTTTTTGCCATACTGTGTTGTTTATTTCTTAAAAGAAAATTGAAGCAAATGTGGCAAAACAATAACATCTGTTTAATCTGGGAGGAATGTACCAAGGTATCTGCTTATTGCTGGCTCCCTCTCTTGCTTTATTAGCCAGAAACGTTATTTGGCTTTTTCTCCACTGTTTCCTCCCTGTGAATCCCAGGGATATGGATAATACTGAGTTAAATGATAAGTTCAGAAACAAAGTAGAAGTCAAGTCATACCAGATCCACCTGAAAGACATGTCTCTCTTTTTAGCCTAGAAAATAAAAACCTTGATAAGACATGGATACTCTAAGTAATTCCTGGTATTTTTCTTTATGGAGGGAGGTATACTACTTCTATGTGACTAGGGGGCGAATGCAGAAATAGTGGCTTGGAACTGGGAAGAGGCAGATTCTAGCCCAAGTCATGGGAGATCAACCCAGCGGCCTCAGTGGTCTAGAATTGCAATAGCGGGCTCCAGGAGAAAATGATCTGCTTGTCAGATGTTCAAACAGAGGCAAAAGTACTATTTTTATGGCATGTTTAGTAAGGATTCTAGTGATACCATTAATGGATGTTAATGGGTATCATTTATTAAAGGCTTATTATATGTTTAAAACACTTTATTAATTTATTCAGTTTCCATGATAACATTATATGGTTGTGACTGTTTGAAAATGTTATGATGCTTGCAAAGCCCCTACCACAGTATCTGGGACCTGATTATCTCTCAGGGAATTGGGTAGCTAATCATTTTATTAACTGCTTTGTTAGGTTCCCACTTCTTGCAAAAAATATTGCTAGTCAACTGTAAGGTTAATGCCCATAGAACAGACACAGAGTTATAACACATTTGTACTCACAGTCTTTTATTTAATCCAGGTAAATCCTGCAAGAGACAAAAGTAAAATAAAGCACTCCCATGTGAATAAAACACTATTCACAAGAGCAAAGAGAAAGAATCAACCTGAATGTCCACCAATAGATGAATGGATAAAAAAACGTGATATATATACAAAATGGGATCCTATATGGCTAAAAAGAAGAATGAAATCCTTTGTAAAGACACATGCACATGTATGTTTATTGCAGCACTATTTACAATAGCAAAGACTTGGAAATAAACCAAATGCCCATCAATGATAGACTGGATAAAGAAAATGTGGCACATACATACCATGGAATACTATGCAGCCATAAAACAGAATGAGTTCATGTTGCCCTTTGCAGGGTCATGGATGGAGCTGGAAGCCATCATTCTCAACAAACTAACACAGGAACATAAAACCAAACATGACGTGTTCTCACTCATAAGCAAGAGTTGAGCATTGAGAACATATGGACACAGGGAGGGGAACATCACACACTGGGGCCTGTCGGCGGATGGGGGACAAGAAGTGGGACATCATTAGGACAAATACCTAATGCATGCAGGGCTTAAAACCTAGATGACAGGTTGATAGGTACAGCAATCCGCCATGGCACATATATACCTATGTAACCTACACGTTCTGTACATGTATCCCAGAATTTAAAGTAAAATAAAGAAAAAAAGTAATGAAATCAAGTCATTTGTAGCAGCATGAATGGAACTAGAGGTTGTTATCTTAAGTGAAATAAGCCAGGCACACCCATGTAAAAATATTGCATGTTCTCATTTATATTTGGGAGCTACAAAGTCTGATCACATGGAAGGAGTAGAAAGATAAATAACATAGACTAGAAAGGGTGATGAGGGTGAGGAGAGAGGATGAAGAGAAGTGAGTTAAAGGGTACAAACATACAGTAAGATAGAAGGAATAAATTCCATGTTTGATAGCAGAGTAGAATGACTACACTTAATAAAAATGGATTATACTTGGGTGAAGAACACTGTGGATACCCTGACTTCATTACTACGTATTTGACTCATGTAACAAAATTTCACATGCAATCTATAAATTTGTGCAAACGAAAAGAGGAAAAAAATAAAAGTGAGAGGCTGGGTGCGGTGGCTCATGCCTGTAATCCCAGCACTTTGGGAGGTTTAGGCAGGTGGATCATGAAGTCGGGAGTTCATGACCAGCCTGGACAACGTGGGGAAACCCCGTCTCTACTAAAAATACAAAAATTAGCCTGGTGTGGTAGCAGGTGCCTATAATCCCAGCTACTTGGGAGGCTGAGGCAGGAGAATCACTTGAATCTGGGAGGCAGACGTAGCAGTGAGCCGAGACTGCACGATTGCCCTCCAGCCTGGGCGACCAGAGCAAAACTCTGTTTCAAAAAATAAAAAATAAAATAATATAAAATGGAGAATGGAATGCAAGTGATCAGACTAAGTTCATACAACAAGTGAATGGTAAAGGAAAATCTGGATGTTGGAGAAAAGGCCCTAAACTTAGAAACATGTAAGCTTGAACTAGAAGTATCTCGTTTTTCCAGGGGCTTTGTGTCCCAGTAATAGCATCTTGGTGTCTTGAGCTTTGGTCTACCTCTCCTAGGTCCTCTTTGTCTCCAAATTGTCAGATTCTTAGTTCCCTTATGGGGTTAATGCAGGTGAGTTCTCAGAAAGTAGGTGACCCAAACACTTACCAGGGAGACAGGAGTTCCTTCCTTATCTGGAAACTTGTTCAACACGCCTTCTGTTGTGTTAACTCTCAGGGCTGTTTGCAGATTGCATCCCATGTGGCTGCCTCTTCGTAATGACAGACACGGGGAGCTTTTCAAATCCTGGGGATGATCTGAGTGGATAATGTCAGCTGATTATGAATTTCTGGTGTGTGGCCTACAGCTATTGGTAATGAATGAGGCTGCTACGCAAGGGGACTTTTGATCAAGAGCACATTTCTGCATAATGAGAAGTAAAGTAGTGCAGATTAATGGTGTCAGCCTTTTAATGGGACCTGGGGAACTGGCTGGGTGATGGATCCTTTTTCCTGAGAGCAGCTCAGTCTTCTGCCTCTCGGACTTACATCAAGGGGAGCCCAAGGGGAGTCACTGAAAGGTCATTAAGTCTCTCATTGACAGGTGTTGGCACAAGAGTTTCCTAGTTGTTCTCACCTCCTCTTTGTTGCTGACCTTTTCCCCATTGAATGTGACATTCAAAGCAAGAGACATGGAAAACTCTTCAGGGCCAGGGACATTGAAAGCACCATCATTAAATAACTTACAAAGGGAATGTATTGTCATTAGATAGTTTTGGGCTTTGCTTAAGACATTTGAATGGTGGCCCATCTTTGTGTTAGGCTGCCAGTAGCACACTTGACCTGTCCTCTACCTGAGTTTTGTCCCCTTAGCCCAACCTAGACAAGAAAGACTAGTCAGTATTTATACACATCGATCATTTGTAAATAGTAGGTCAGAGTCAAGGTCAAGGCATTCCATGAGGTTTCAGCTATTGCTAGTAATACCAGGTAGCATTTATTGAGCATCTATAGGACACTTATCAGATGCACATATTTTGCACTTATTCCAGTTAATAATCTCCCTATGGTATAGGTATTAGTATTCCCATTTTATGGATGATTACCTTGAAGTTCTGGGAGTTTTGCTGCGTTTCTTGGAATTACATAGCTAGCAACAGTAGCAGTAGTAAAAATCATGATCATAACCGCCAACATTTATGTAGCTCTCGCTATGATCTGTGCATGTTTCTAGGAGCTTTTAATGTATGAGTTTGAGTACTGCATTAATGCAGCAAGATTGGGTATTATATTTTCACATTGTACAAATAAAGACGTTGAGGCATAGTAAGCTTATGTGACGTGTCCAGAGTCACAGAATTAGTAAGGTATGGAGGTGTGATTTGAACCACTATGCTTTAGATGCCAGCCTTAAAATGCCAACTTGTTGTCAGAGTGGGACTTTCCCCTGTCCTCACTACTTCCTCGCCTAGCCTCACCTCTGCATTTGAATCACTTAAGACTGTACTTTCATTAAGATCTCCTTAAATGTCAGTGACCTTTGAGCTGAGTTAGGTTTCTTTCTGCTGTGTGTTTGCACATTTTCCTCTTCTTCCCCTGTTTTAACACCCTTCACGCTTTCCTGTGATTACTCACATGACATGTTGTCTTCCCTTGTAGATATTAAGCTAGAGAAGGCAGATGCTGGTGCTGGCTGGGCCTTCCCTGCTTAACATCATATTCTCAAGGTCTGTTATGGTGTCCACATAAATAAAGTTAAATTCTGATTGTTACCATATTTCACAAACACTCTTGGACAAAATACTGGCAATTTGGAAGGCGTGGTCTAAGACAAAATATAAACTATTTGTCAAAGCCAAAATTCCTACTGGGCAGCTCCAGGGGGCACCATAAAAAATAGACAACTACATTCTAGAGTTGAAGACACTGAGATCCAACAAGTGATCTGGGGCAGCCAAATGGAGGAGAAAAAGCTCTTCATACTACATGGTATGAAAACAGCAAACAAACTGTGATTCCAAATACAAGCTCTAAATCAAAAGACTGTGTACCTTGACCTGCCATCAAAGTTACTCCTCTTGGCAACCTCATAAAGCATGCTTGGTGGGAAGCAGAAAGTATGATGTATTATTCATGGTAGTTACTGGGTTTTCAAAACTAAGTCATGAAATGAACATTTGCTGATTAAGGAATACAAGCATGACTGAATAAACAAAAGAGTATAATAAAGTCAGATTTGTTTCATGTTCACCTGAGTAAACACTAATGTTTGTCTGCTATGACATGCTGCTATTTCCAATGACCCTTTATGTGCGTATACTGTCTATAGGACAACTCTGTGACCTATGTGGGATGAACATTATTATTTGCATTTTAAAAAGGGAGAAGGGCAGTTCACATAGGTAGAGATTTTTTTTTTAATAATGCATTATGTTTGTTGTTGCCGCAGTTGTGTTTCTTGTTATAATCGTTATTATTATCTCACATACACTTTTTTTTTTTTTTTTTTTTTTTGAGGCAGAGACTCACTCCTTCAGCCAGGCTGGAGTGCAGTGGTGTGATCTCAGCTCACTGAAACCTCTGCCTCCTGGGTTTAAGTGATTCTCCTGCCTCAGCTTCCCCAGTAGCTGGGATTACAGGCATACACCACCACACCAGCTAATTTTTGTATTTTTAGTACAGATGGGATTTCACCGTGTTCGGCTGGTCTTGAACTCCTTACCACAAGTGATCTGCCCACCTTGGCCTCCCAATGTGCTGGGGTTACAGGCGTGAGCCACTGCACCCAGCCTTACATATACCTTGAGCGCCTGGTATAAGGACCCAGAGGCCAGGACCTGCTAAAGAGGTGCAAGCTGGATTAGAGAAATAAGCATAGAGTTCAGTTACTGAGACTAGGAACCCACATTGAGAGCAACTCTAGAATGTCCTAAGATCTTCAGTGCTGACCTAATTTTTGTGGCTTTCAACCTTCTGTGACAGATTTTCCCACTCACAATATCCATGACACTTTATGATGTTTATAAATCCAGTGTCGGTCCCACTGCTCACAACTTGCCTTTGATATAAAAAAATGTTTCATTAGATATGGCTTTGTTTATCCAAACTTTATTCCTCCTTTACATCTTTTTAATGACTTTTAAGCTCAGACTATTAATCTTCTTACCCAAGTTAAACCTTTCCCTCAATGTGTTCTTTTATAGATATTTCCAAACTCTGAAGCTTACATTCTTTACCCTCTGTGGGCTTTTATGGAGACAATAATTAGCTGGAAAGCCTTGTCAGAAATACAAAAGAAAGTGTTCCAGTATTAGGTGGGATTGTGGACTGAAAACCTTCTAGAATATTGTCAACATTGAATGTTGCTGTATCAAACAATTCAATTCACTTTGGGAAAAGCATTGAGTTTCTCTTTGCATTGGCCATGATGTGAGCCCAGGGAATGAGGCATATAGAGTTACAGCAATGCAGAGGACATAGTAATAGAGTAGAAC